TATTCTCATAAGTGTTTTTGTTTAGACAATCAATTTGCACGTACAGTCAGCCCTCTGTATCTACAGGTTCCACATTCATGGATTCAACCAACTGCAGATCAAACTTATGTGGAAAAAAAATTCCAGAAAATTCCAAAACCCAAAACTTGAATTTGCTGTGCTGGCAACAATATATGGGTATTTTTCATCATCATCTGGGGCCATTTGGTTACCACAAAAATTTTTTTTTCAAATTAAGGAGCGAGTTTACTAGCTGCTTGGGTCCAATTTCAAGAGAGTGAGCACTTTCTAGAAAAGTCTAGTGGCTGGAGAACTAAACAATGCCAAAAACTTTGGCCACGCTGCACACAGACATGATTAGCAACAAGAAACCACTGAAAATAGTAGCCACAGTAAGTGTTGATCTACGTTAATTACAATTTTCATGTCTGTCAAGCTACAATCCCTTCCTTACTGCATTTCTTTGAGCTCAGGCAGTTCTTGAAGAGTACTTCGTTTATGATAGGACACACTCTGTTGCCTCTTAGACGAGAGCTTTCATTAAGCAGAGGCAGAGCTGTTTAAATTAATGGGCTCTCGACACACAGCACTGCACCAAGCTATGAGACAATGGTTCTTTGTGTTCTGAGTTGGACATGTGATGCAGGGCTTTAAAAAGGGTATTTCCAAGGACGCGTTCAACAATCTCTCTCAACCCGCATGCTCTTCTTACACTGACTGACACTCCTGCCAGTGAGAGGTGGGATCTGTGTACCCCTCCCTTGGTCTGGGTAGGCTTGTGGCACAGCAGAACTGACACCATGTATGCTCATACCATCGTTTGTTTATTCATTCACTTGTTGATGGACATTTGGGGCTGTTTCCAATTCGGGCCTATTGTAAGTAAAGCTACTATGAACGTTTGTGTACAAGTCACTGTATGAACATAAACATTTTTTTCCCTCTGGGAGTAAATGGCTAGATCACACAGCCAGTATATGGCTTAAAATTTAGGAAACTGCAGAATCATTTTTGCAAAGTATTATACCATTTTACATTCCCACCAAAAGCATATGAGAGTTCCAGTTCCTCTACAGCCTCACCAACATTTTGTATGGCCAGCCTTCTTAATTTCAGCCATTTTAATAGGTATGGAGTGGTTATCTCACTGAAGTTTTAACTTCCATTACCCTATTGACTAATGATGTTAAGCATCCTTGTATGTGCTTACTGATCATTCATACATCTAAGGTGGAACGTCTATTCTAATCTTTTTGTCAAGTTTTATTGGGTTCTTTTCTAATTACTGATTTTTTGAGAGTTCTTTATATTCTCTAGATACAAGTCCTCTATCACATATACACATTGCAAATATTTTCTCCTTGTCTTTTCATTCTCTGAGAGCAGAGGTTTTAATTTTGATGAAGTCCAATTTATGAGTTTTTTTTTTTTATGGACCATGCTTTTGGTGTTGTAACAAGAAATCTTTAACAAAGGTCAGAGATTTATCTCCTGTTTTGCCTACAAGATTCAGTTTTAGTTCTTAACTTAGGTCTTCGATTCATCTTGAATTAATTTCGTATATGGTGAAAGATACGAAGTTCTGAGTCTGTTGGGTTTTGTTTATTTTGCAGCTTTTTTGCGTATGTATATCCAATTGTTTCAGCAACATTCATTGAAAAGACTTTACTTTTGCCACTGAATTATCTTTTCATTTTTGGCAAAAAATCAGTCAGCAATGTACGTGTGGATCTATTTCTATACTCGTTATTCTGTTCCACTGATCTATTGCAATCTTACACCACCACCCACTCTGGTGACTACTGCAGCTGTATAAATAAAATTTGAAACTGAGTAACTTGAGTCCTCCAACTTTGTACTTCTTTCTCTTAAGTTGTTTTAACTACTCTGGGTCCTTCACAGCTCATGTGAATTTTTAGAATCAGGTTATAAATTCAATTTTAAAAAGATTTTGATAGGGATTGCGTTAAATCTATAGGTTAATTCTGGGAGAACTGACAATATAACTATATTGAGTCTTCTGACCCATGAACAAAATACACCTCTCAGTTAAAATTTAGGTCTTCTTCAGTTTCTCTCAGCAAAATTTCATAGTTTTCAGTGTATAGATCTTGCACATCTTTGTCAAGTTTATTTTCTAAATAGTTCATCCTTTCTTATGTTACTACAAGTGGTATTATAAACACTTTCAATTTCTGATTATTCACTGCTAGTTTTATTGACTTTTTAATTTTGACTCTCATTTTTTGATTTCTTAAGAGTTCATTGTGGTTTTGTTCTTTTTTGTTGTTGTTTAAAAGCATTCCATACTTGTTTCACTCATGCAAAAACCTCATTTCCCTGAAATGTAAAAGTTTTTGTTTTTTAATTTTCTTCTGTTCCTCAAGTCTTATGTTTTCTCTAGATTTCTTTTTTTGTCTGTTTGGATCTTTGTCTTTCATGTTAAAGTACTGTATTTTTGGCAGTCTACTCATGTTTTAAGAGGGAGATACTAAAATGCTGATTGAGAAGCTTTGCACACATTGGCAAAGGATGGTTCACTAATAGCCATCTTTGTAGGGTAATTGCCCACAATCTCCTATGTATCACTTTTTCTCCACCACTTAGTTTCTCTCAAGAACAAAATGGCTATGGCAAAGCCAGGTCTACCTTATACATGCAAACCAGACTCCTTTGGGCCCCTTACCAACTCTTTAACAAATTCTAAGCCCCACTGTCTTTGGATTAATATGGGTTTACCTGTTCAACCCAGAACTAGATTACTGTGTTTAAAGCAATCGTTCCCAACAATATGACACCCTTCTATTACGCTGAAATAAAATTCCTAGATAGTACCTACCTACCTAAATACACACACATATAAACACCATTTAATGGAAAACAAAACAAAACCCTAACTGTAATATAAGGGAGAAGTAAAAGTTACAATAAAGAGCATATTGTGATACATAAATGCTCAGGAATAGCTATAATAGAAGACATAAAGAGATGACTCTGACCCTGATATGTTGGAATGTCAACTCAGATACCACTTTGATGATGCAATTTTCCAAAATGGCAAACAACTTTTGGAAATATCCCGAACAAAAAATCCTCCTCCCTTGATTCATAAGGTAGTTGCATTCCTAGAAAATTCAGTGTACAGTATACAAAAATACTTTGTGTTTACATATATAAAACAGAGTTACTTTTAGGATAATATCTGATGAAATACTGGAAAGTTATTGTAGGTAAGGGACAATTTTTCCTGGTCTCTGCCTATCAAGTACTTGTAGTATCCTCCACAATGTGAAAAAGCACCCTTACAAACTGTCAAAATGTCCCCCAAGGGGGGCAGTGTCTTCCTTATTAAGAGACACTGGGCTAGAGGGATGAGATTCAGTCAGTGAGGCACATTTAAACCTTGATTACTCTACAAAATGTGGGAGGGTGGAGGTGCAGCAGTATCTACTATTTCTAACTTCCTCATTCATAAATTAAAACTAACAGAATTTCAAGTGCTCCCTCAGATAAAGGGCTTTATATTGAAGAAACTTTTACTAGTAAAGCAAAGTTCACTACATTTGTTCAAGTTGAAAGCATTTTAAATTTGAGATGGCTAGGAAGACGATTAGTTTAAGTAAAATAGATTATTTTGATTAACACTCAAATTCCTTTGGTAGAAATGCTAGGTTTTAGGGAAAAACGACATCATGGATTAAATAGCCACTAGATTTAAAATCCCCAGTAGCTCTTTTTGGCTTAAACAAGAATCATGTTTGTACACTCACTTACTTTTTGGTTGACACTGGAAATCATTTACAGTTAAAAAACAAAAACAAAGCTCCGAATAAAACATGCTGAGGGACAGAACCCATGAATCTTAATTTTTCATTTCATCAAATGCCATTGCTTTTTAAGGCTTAATTCTGTGAGCAAATAAATGGTACTATGAATAAAAAGGCTCTCTTCACATGGCCTCTCAAAGGATTAAAATCCCTTGAGCCAGACAGCCATAAGGAGACTGGAAGGTTATTGTAAGTTATCTTTTGTGCAAGGAGCTTTGTCACCTGAAGAACTTTTTAAGTGAAGCCAATCTGTGCTTTAGATTCCTAACTATGGAAGAATGTTCTACACTTAAAATTTATTCTAGGAAGAGAATCTCACTGATAATTCCTAAGAAGCAGTCACCTAGCCACCTATCCATGCCTGCAGATACCAATAAAAGGAAAACATAAAATGACCCCATTTAGTTATTCTTATCCCCTTTTCTCAGTTCAGTCCTAGAAAATAATACTGCTTTGATAATCAAATCACTAACATGCTGTCAAGTCTCATGTCAATTTCAACTGTAAATATTTTTTATTTGGTGGGGTAATACCCTCAGTCGGAAAGCAGGGATTTTAAAAGGCAGTTTATAGTCCATAACTCACTTTTGCAGATTATCAAATATTTCATAGGATTTGGATATTGAATGGAACTTCAGTACTAAAAAATAAACTCAAAGCTAGTATTATTTTTTTACAGATGTAAAACCTGCTCTTTGATGTTCTCCCAAAAGCAGAAAGATAACAGAGGGAAGAATGTTGTTGTTAAGGCTAAATGAAGAGGCAGAGTTGCCAAAACAAACTCCATTAACAAAACTGTGATGCCCAAGTAAACTGTCAAAGACAACTGACAGCAACAGAACAGGACCGATATACCAGTGCGTAAATCAGCAAGGCCCAACCTACAAACCAGTTCACGTCTGAAGAATTTACTTGTCACTTTGGTGGGGAGAGAGCATCAAGATGGAGTTCATATCTAAAAGTCAAACCACTTAAAGCAAATCTAAATTAAGTCTTGTCACCATTCATAGGTCTGTCTCCTAAAATCTTAGGCACAAAGCAGTCTACTGTAACACTGACATCCATATTAGTTTCCAGAAGAGGGCAAGGGAAGGAGACAAGTATTACATACATTCACAAGTTACCTTTTAAAATTAAGACATCTCAATTTTTTTCAACAAATGTAGAAGAATATTTATGGGGAGAAAAAAAAAAGCTTTGTTTATTGTAAAGTCAGGTCAACTTAGGTATTAAATTGGCAATGAATAAGGAACACACACAGCCCAATATCATATATTTATAGTTCATACACAGGTTACCTTTGGCATAACTTACTGGATTCCATGATAAGGGTCTAAAATGTTTCTAGACGGAATTTAAAATTTTCTAGATCTTTAGAGGGCTAAAGGGACATTGGTCCACAGTTGTCAAAATTCAAGGAGAAATAAAGGTTAATGGGTATTTAATTTCCATCTACACTTTCTATTCAACAGATTAAAAAAATTTTTTAAACTCCTGAATCATTTCTAAAAGGATTAAGGCAACCTCCTTTATGTTAAAATTCAAAATAAAGCTTTTACAAAAGATCTAAATGAAACTTCTATATACAAACTCGTTTAAAACTCTCAGGATCACAAAACTACCATTGCCAACTATGGCCTTCACAGTTATTCTAAGTAGATAAAACATATTCTCCCTTCTTTTAAAGATGAAAATAATTTTCTATTATTTCATCAGTTTTCTATTATAAAAAAAGCTGTGATAATGGGTGTGTTATATGGTATAGTCTCTCAATTACCATGTTTAGCCCTTACACTAACTTGCCTTTGTATGAGATATATTATTCTCAAAAAAAAAAAAAACAAAAAAACAAATCCAGTGGGAGAAAGAATGTTTAATAAATGGTGTTGAAACAAATAGCTATCTGTTTGGGAAAAAAAATAAATTTTGATCCTTATACCTTGTACCATGTAGAAAAATACATGTATTACTGACGGATTCAAGAGTAAAAAATAAAAATGTAAGTACCCAAAATTCTACATACAATTTTAGGGGGTTCACAGACTCCCTAAAGCCCATCCATGGATCTCAGATTATCTAGAAGAGGAACTGTTAATCATAACGTCTATTAAAATTTCAATGCCAAATACCAGATGTGTTTTCAAGATCAAGTCACGTGCAGAAAATGAAGATGAACACATTAACTCATTGCTGTAACTTTATAAAATCTCCAAACTGGAACTAGAAACAGAGGCATGTCAATACAAATGGACAATGACTTAAAAAAAAAAAATACACCAATTTAAATAAGTTTGAGTGCATACTGTATAAGTGTATCCATATGTCTGTTAGTCTTTCAGAAATATAAAATCAGCTAAATCTGTAGTACTTAATATATGCAATGCTATTCTCAAACTTGATTAAAATACTCAATAAATACAAGTTATGTTTAATATGAATAACTGCAACGTACTTAAAACATCTAAACATAGAATAGGAATTCTATAATATTAAAATGCAATACTTTCACCTGCATTCATCTCATACACAATGGAAAAATACTTGCAGATAATTAGCATTAAGAATGCAAATATATTTTCACTGTGGAAGAAAAATAAGATAAGAAATCATATATTTGTGTAATCTACAAGAAAGCTGTAGATAGTCTACATTATGATATTCTATTTTAAAATGAAAACAATTCAATATTTAAGTTTACAACAAATTTACTCAAGGCAAAAATATTTGTTTATTACAGAACAGGATCTTAAAGTAAGCAAGGCAACATTAGATCAACCATTTTAGGTTTTTTTTTAAATGAAGTGTTGCTTTAAAATTGTAATAAAGGTAAACATAAATTCTAACATGCTCTTCTCTTCTTATAAATGGGATGATGTAGAAAAGCAAAGCTTCAATGTGTAGGGATTGGAACCATCTGTAAAAGTTAAAAAACAAAGTTAACAGTTCCCTTCATCAAACTTTCATGATTACCATCAATTAGCAAAGTAAATTATTTCACATTTTATAGTATTAGAAGAAGGAATGTTATGAAGGAAAATTTCTATGTAAGGTAAGGGGAAGATTACTTTTGTTCCTTATCTACTAGTAGGTAAGCTCCATGAAGGCAGGGACTTTGTCCATTTTTACATTCCTATTGTTCTAAGCATCACCTGACACACAGAAGGCACTCAGGAATTAAAGGAGATAGTGTACTTTTAAAAAAATTTACTATGTTAATATGATACACCGAGAAGGAGACAATGCCATTTTGGTACTATTCTTGCACAAAATGCATTATCTCATTTCAATCATGAGAAAAATCACAGAAATAAAATTGAGGGACATCCTACAATGTCTAGCCAGTACTCCTCAAAAATGTCAATGATATGAGAAATAAGGAAAAACAGAGGAACTCCCATAGGCTGGAAGAGACTAGGAAAAAATACCAACTAATTGTAATATGGGATTTTAGATAGGATCCTGGAAGAGAAAACGGGTATTAGTGTGACATGGGTGGAATACAAATAAAATCTAGGCTTAGTTGACAGTAATATGACTAATATTAATTTTCAGTTTTTAATTTAAGAATAAATATTCAATAACAAAAAAGAAGTTTCTCAACTTTTTAGTGAATCAATCATTATAGATAAATAGTATCAGGATTAGGCATATCTTTGTCTATCCAAAGCTCACTTTGCAGAAAACATTACCAATGGCAATTACCCTAAAAAAGCTAATTCAAATATAGCTTGGGAAGTGGGACAAGACTGGAATGTACAAGAAGACATCAATGAGCTGGAAAAGTTCCAGGAGATCTAGTATTAAATCTCTGAGCATCAATGGGGCTTTATAGATTTTTAAATTGGAAAAAAAACCAAAACTGGGTATAATCCACAAAAATCCTTCCATATGATACATTCCTCTAATTTTTCAGACCAGGTAGAGATAATTCTTCATCAATTAATTCTGCAAAGAAATAACTCTGGTACCTTAATGTACCAGAATTTTAGTATTAAAAGCTATTGCTCCTTAAGAAAAAAAAATCCTGTAAAAGAAAAAGCATATACATCAACAAGTATTTGTAAGACAGTCCAGAGGATAAAAAGAGAAATAACTGTACTTGTCTCCCAGGAGTTTATAGTTCATATACTATCCTGAATATTTCTCAAATATACATATAATTTTAAAGTCTTTTAAAACTTTCCATCAAAAATTAAGCCTGACTCACTACTTAAAATTTACTTTTGTGACTGAAGGTAAAATGAGAAGTATTCCTATTTTTTATTTTTTAACTTTTCACTAAAAAAATTTTCAAACATAAAAAAAATATACATTAGTATAAGGAACACCCACATAGCTTTAATAACTGTCAACATTTGGCAGTCTTATTTCATTTACCTACCCTCCACACACTTTTGGGGGGCTGGAATATTTTAAAGCAAATTCTAGATATATTATTCCACCCATAAATCCTTCAGTGTATATTCTTTTTTTCCCCCTTCACTACAATTCATCATCACACCTAATAAAATTAATAACAATTTTTCTCCTATTATTTAGAAAAATAAAGTTTCAACATCCTTTAGATCCAGAATCAAAGTAAATTACACAGCACAAAGCTTCAAAAGTTAAATACTTGAGTCTTCTTTGCACAGTAAAAAAGAGGCCATTTACCATTTCAGAGAGAATAAACATAGTGACAATTTCATTTGGAACAACTATGTGGAATACCATTTTTCATCTATCATATTGGTAAAAATTGAAAATCTGACAACACTCAGTGTTGGTAAGAGTGTTGGGCAGTGGGCATTTTCATATACCACAGGCAATAAGGTAAACTTGTGTAACCTTTTAAAAGGCAATCTAGCAACATTTACCCAAATATAAACCTTTATGCTCTCCACTCTAAGAATACTGCCCTAAAAATACAAAAAGCGCAACTATAAGGAGTTTATTACAGTAATAGAAAAACATAATTGGAAACAACCAGTGTTCATTAATGCAGAAGTGGATAAATCCAATAAAGTGTGCTATATCTCTACTAAAAATAGCTACTCTGTGGTAGGGGTGGGGTCGGGGTGGGGGTAGCTTTGCATGTGCTGATATAGAAACAGCTCCAAGATATATTAAGTGAAAACAGCAAGGCACACAACAGTATGTACAGAAGAATCATTCTACTTTAAGTTTTAAAAATGTAGGTACATACACTGGGGAGGAGGAATAAAAGACAAAAAGGTTAGAGGTTAATGAAAACTTTAACTTCCACTTTGTACCATATGTACTGTCCAAGTTTTTTAACTGTATGTACTTACTGCTTTAAGGACAACAGGAACTATGGAAGTCAGCCTCCAAGATGGCCCCAATGTTCCCTACCTCCTGGTATTCACAGCCCTGTACAGTCCCCTTCCATACTGCACTATGGTTGGTCAGTGTGACCACAAGATTACAATATATGTCATAGTATGTCACTTCCAGTATTAGGTTATAAAAGACTCTGTGGCTTCTGTTTTGTTGTTTTTTTGTTTTCATCTCTCTTTCATCATCTCATTCTGAAGGAAATGAGCCAATGTGACTTGACTGTCCCTACAAAGAATTACGAGTGGGCACTGAAGTGGATTTTCTAGCCCCAGTCATAAGACTTGAAATGACTGCAGATTATAGCTGACTGCAGCCTCATGAGACACCCTGAGGCAGAACTACCAGCCTAACTATATACACAGATTACTGACCCTCAGAAACAGAAGGATAATAAATGTTTGTTGTTTTAAGCTGCTAAATGTTGTGATAGTCTATTACACAGCAATAGGTAACTAATACAAGAATTATGTGGGTTGTGGGATTTATATGCCTTTTTGAAATTTGTACTTCTCTGTATTAAAAAAACTACTAAATGTTATTTTAAAATTATCATCAATGTTTCTGATGGTAAATCCCATGGAATAATTACCACACAATCTACTTACTTGGAACTCTTATCTGGTAGTGATTTAGTGCTGTAAGGGCTTCTACTGCATCAGTTTTGCATTCCCACTCTAACAGCCCAGAAAGCGTTTTGGCAGAAGCTAAAACCAAACACAAATCCAGCTGTTATTTGCTTATCATCAAACTAACCAGAAAACTTTAAAAAAAAGGAAATGTGCACTTACGTTTTGCATCAAACACTTTATATTTGATGAACGTAAGAACTTCATGGTCATTACACAACTGTCAAAGAAATGTAAAACTCCATTAAAAATGTGGCCAACATAATATTCCTACCTTTTTTTTCTCTCCCAGAAAGTAAACTTTATGGCAGCATTTAAGGTTTGAGTCTGGCATGAATGAATTAAGTAAAATATCTTCTTAAATTAATAAGCTGAATGAAAAAATCAATTAAAATAGTGACACTCTATAATCTATGTATATAATTTTAGTGCTGTACAATAAAATCAAGATTTGTAACTAAAATATATACTCAGAGTTGAACCAGGATTTATCAAGTACCTAAGTACCTAAGGTAGGGAATGGAATTCCAGAAAAATCAATTATTTTCTGAAGCAATTCCTACAGTTAGGGGAAAATACAGGGATATGTAAAATTTTTTTATGGGTGAGACTTAATGGCATGATAAAAGCACCTTCTGAATGCAGGAGTAAGGGTACCTCATACTAATTCCAATTCTCAAAAAGACTGAGCCACAAACCAACAAGAGATCAATGAAGGATGGAGGCCAGAAAAGTTAATGGTCAAAGAATGAACTATATTAAGTACCAAATTAGTAACAGAATACTAATAATGTCAAAAGTGGATGATGAACAGAGCAAGACTCTAAAAAGCTAAAATATGATATATATTTTAAAATAGGAAATAGGAACATTCTACACAAATTTTATTTCAGTGCCTACCTTTGTGAAGGTCTCTTCTGTGACACACAGTGGAACATTATAATAATGCAGCACACATGAGGGTGGCTGAATTATATTCTTAGATGCTTGGCCAGCACTTGTAAAGCGATTATTTTTGCTCATTGCAAAATCTTTGTAGCTACTTGTACCATCCTCCAGCTCAAATATTTGACTTGGAACAACTGAATGTTGTTTAGATACACTGAAGATTAGAAAGGAAAGAAGTACAGAACGTAACTTTGTTAGATAAAAAGCAGCAAGCAGACAATCTCAAAATGTTAACATGTATGCCTGCATCAATCTTAACAAATATATAGCTATTTAAGTACAGTTTAAATACTATTCTTAACATGTAAATACTTTAAGTTATAATCAATCACTCATATAGATTAGACATCACTTAGGAAGAAAAATCTATTGAATACATTTTCAAATTAGAAAACTTGAATATAAAAACTTGCTCATATTAAAAAATATGCTGTCATACACAACATTGGAAATGACTATAACTCAATAAAAATGTTTTAAAAAATGCTGTTTTGTAATCATAAAACTAAAAATTAGGTGTATTTAATAAGTAAAATCTAAATTATATGACCATAAGGGTCTAAAATGACATCACTACAGCTGTTAATTGCAGATTTGCCCGCAGTTACATTACAATTTTCTGAAATGGAAATTAATGTCTCTAATAAAAAGGCTAAATATTTTTTAATTTTACCACTTAAGATAAATAATTACCAAACATTAAGTCTTTTCCCAAATAATTTGACATTGTTAAGGTGTGTGACAGCTCTTTCTACAGCATACTCATCACCCATCTCTACCAGTGCTGTACCAGGAATGGTCTTCATAAATTTTACCTGTAAATATGAAATTCCAAAAAAGTTAACATTTAATCCCCTTTTACAGTAGCAGAATTTCTAAAAGATAACATAAGTGGTTGCTGTCAAATAAAGAAGATAACCTTGAATCTTAACTTTATTCTGCTGTGCTATTAGACACTCATCAAAGTTCAATAAAATTAATTAATTAAAGGAAGACTATAATTCTATTATATAGCACATTGAAGAAGAGCACAGGCTTATGCTGACTGTCATTTATTAATTGTGTGATTTGGGGCATTTTACTTCAGTCCTCTGAGCCACAGTCTTCCCTATAAAATGGACATGATAACATTTGGCAGGACTTATCAATATTTATTCATTCAATATTTATTAAGTGTCTAATATGTTTTAATAATTATGCACTGTGCCAGGTACTGGGGATTTAATGGCAAGCATAATAGACATGGTCTTCTTGAAGCTTATACTCTAGTAGGTAGGTTTGAAATTTTAAAGTAAATAATAATTAACAACTATTCAGAGTGTTTAAACAATAAACACTCTAAAAGCAATAAGCAAGATACCATATAAGAAATAATACAAGATGGCCTTGAGATAGCATTGCCAGTAGGAAAGTTTGCACTAGGCAGGGGCAGCTTATTAAATAGGTAATACTAGGCAGGAGGGTATAGCTCAGTGGTAGAGTGCATGTCTAGCATGCATGAGATCCTGGGTTCAATCCTGAGTACCACCACTAAAAATCGAAGTAAATAAACCTCATCTCCCACCCCTCCAAAAACAGGCAATACTTCACAAATTTTCATGACATCTTTGACAGAGGCCATACTTATCCTCTTAAATACTATGCCAATTTTAGTATATAATGCTGTAAGTGTTAGGTGGGAGAAAGTATGACAGCATAGTGCCTACCCCTTGGGAAGTCCCTAAACAGTTATTAAGTACCACTAACATTCATGACACTTTGAACATACTTCTTTCTTACTTGCTAACATCAAAGGGAAAGTGGGAATGTATTTATGCAACAAATGCAACATAGCATTTATATCTATCAATTTGGATGAGCTATCCTAGCATTTTTATACTACACCTGTACTTGAACAAACCCAGCTGTAACAGGACTTTTCAGCTTTACTGGAAATCAACTGTCTTCTTATGGGCAAAATTTCCCTCCCTTGATTTAATCCAATAACATGCTACAAATATAATAATGACTAAATATATATGTCAAATATGTAGTTCTTATATTAGTACATTTCAAAAGAAATCAGAAAAAATTAACTATATATAGATTTAAAGGATTATGATGGCTTGAGTTTAATGTATTATATTGTATCATTTAAAATGTAAAAATTTTTTGAAATGTGCATTGAGAGAGACTAGAATTATTGAAATAATATAAAGAAAACTTAAGTTTTATTAGAAAAAGTGATTTGGGTTTCTAAATAATGAGATAATTTAGTTCATAACACAAAAGACAACAATCTAAAGATGTTGATTAAAATGCCTGATTCCAGTTGTCTACGAACGTGAAAAGCACAAACAGATAAGTAACACTACATAAAGGTTAAAATATAAATTAAAGCCCATTTAGTTGTCAAGTATGTGGTTTCTAGGCCTTAACTAGACACCCAGAAGTCTAAAAAATTTATGTGAAAAAATCTGAATTACTTTTCCCAATGTTGCTGAATCTGCCCTATGTATTCTTGGTTAGTTATATAAGCAGAAATATCCCATATGTTATCCCCTAAACCAAATATGGAATTTTTTTCCTTTAAAAAAGATGTGGTCAAGTAGTAAATTCTTTTTTCAGAGATTTTCAAGTTGCTCTCTCAGATCAAGGAGAATTAATGTCTCAGATCCATTTAGAATTAATTAACTAAGAACTAAGAGTACCAACTCCATACTCCCCTCTCCCACACTCTTGTGACTCATACACTTGTACTTTTTTATTGTTGTGAAAAACACACTAAAATCACTTTAAAAAACAGGGGAAAAAAACATTACAACTATATCAAAACTCAAATAAGTGAATGTATCAAAAACTGGTAATAAGCCTACCAATTGTTTCCCCAGTTAAATTTTCCACGATTCTTTCAACAACAGCTTAGAATCTACTTTGTGACAGGGACTATTCTAAGTGTTCGTGAGATGTCAATGAACAAAAATCACAGACCAGGGAAAACCACAAAGCTACCCAGTGAAAATAAAGTTACAATTTTAAAGATCTTCAAAATATATAAAACTGAAATGTTTTAGCACTTTTTGAGTGTAAGCCTCCAGACAGAAAAGTTCTGGACACCTTCTATCAAAGTCGGTCAGTTACAAATACTGACTGAGCTAAAAGCATGTTGTTCCTCAGAAGATACCAGGACTCCAGCACTCAGGAGGTAAGTATGTAAATCTAGAACTCTCCTAAGATTCATGGCTGTGGCCACACTGTGAGGCATATTTATGTGTACCTGGCTCCATGAAAGTAACTGCTCTTTCAAAACCCCACAGTTCAACATGTTGAACGCTAGAATCTCTCTAAAATGATTTTTTAAAATATGGTTTATGCCTCTAGTATGCTGACTGATTAAACTACTTACCGTTTTGGACTTCTTTTTATATTAGTAATTTAAAAAATATTTTTAGTACCAACAACCTATACTGATCACTTACCAACAAAAAACAATTCCTAGAATTCCTACCTAATGGAGTTCTAGCTTATGTGGATCACCACTGAAAGAACTTGCGTGTTCCTAAATACAAGGAGAAGACACATATATTTGCAGCCTTTTCAGATATTCCTACTACATATCCTAGCAAAAGAAGCTAATATAAAATGAAACTTACCTTTTCAATATTTCCATATAAGCAGAATAGGTTGAAGACTCTTGAACAATTCATTTTCAGTTGATGTAATCCACTAACCATTACAACTGAACCAGAGGGATTTCCTCCATGCATGTAAGAGGAAGAAGCCTGCGGTAATGGATATGCAACAAGCTCAGGTGTATCTCGAGAGCCCATTCTGTAACGACTTGGTAAAGGTAATAATGGACCATGGGATCCTATTAAAAAAAACAAAGGGGACAACAAAACACAACACAACTTTAGTAGATACACTTCACCACATATAAAACAAACCCTTAATATTAGCTAGGTGGATGGTATGTCCAAGGAAAACTCAAATGAATATTCAAATATAACCTGTGGAAATTAACAAAAATCTATATTTATTTTGCACCAGATCCAATATATGTTGACCTGCACACACCTGCATACACCAGGCTTTAAGTTCATATTTTTAAAAAATTATAGTTTAACAAAAAAGTATACAAGACCAGGCCATATATGGAGGGGGGAAATCAGTGCAAAACTTTGGGCCACTGTATATAAATTATACCTAAAAAACAAAGAAAAACTTCTGCCAACATCTTTTAGAGGATAATACAATAAAATCTACAATGAAATCTAGGAAACTATCTTCATACAGATATAACAAAAAGAACATCTTCAGTTCCACTGAAAAGTTGTCCCCTTAAATATATTTTACTATAATGTAATTTCAGGCTAGTATTTTATTCTCCTAATTATAATTTAGGAAACTACAACCCTAGATTTAGTTAATACCCCCCACCGCTACTCAGAGGTGTCATTACTGAGCAACCTCCATTTTTTGAAATAACATCAAAAACCCTCTAGAAAATAACACGTAAGTATCTAAAACTGTTGTCACAGAAATCTGTATATCTTACACTGAGAATTCTTATTAAGAATTAGCTTACTAACTCTGGAATAGTTTTAAACAACTTTAATTTATTTAGTTTTCCCACCCATAACAGATTAGAAGTAACAAGAAAAACAAAGCTAGAGTGAATTGGAATAGACAGGAATGAGGAAGTCCAGAGAAACTGTGATACTGAAAGTATGCATGGGGCACACTTACAGCAGCAAGAAGAGAGGCATAAAAACCCAGAAGAAGCAATTAAGATGGAGAGGTGTAACTCTAATATATAAACCTACACATCTTAGCTGCTCCTGAGTCAGTGATTACAGACACATACTCTGGGGTACACTGCAAATTCTCCTGATGTGCAAGAAACCAATCCAAAATCTCAAGTCCTTTCCTCATTTCTCAAGAAGTACAAAATGTGTAATACTACTGACTTTCATTTTTATCTAAGACTAAGGAACACTTGTCATCTATTGAGTTACTAAGAACTATTATATTTTGGTATCATAGCACATTACAGCTTATGGGGACTCCAATTTGGTATTCAGTATCCTAAATACGGCTGCCATTCATAACAACACAGCAACACGACCACTGAGCACATACAACATGGTGTAAATTCCTGAAGTTTTATGGAGGAATACTTTATGAACACACCATCAGTGTTGCCTTAAATTGGTCACGGTTTTCAACTGCTCTTATTGCTGGTAATTGGTAGCTTATCAGAACAATCAACGTAGCTCATGATGAGTTACTGGTTGGCAAATGTAAGTACACTGTCCTCCAATTTAGACTATTACACATATACTGAGGTCAAATATCAATCATTCTTACCTCTATAGCAAAAATATATATACATGTTATACTTCACCCCCACCACTACCATTTGCTTATACAGTATGACATTTCAGTATTATCACTAAATTTTCTCACAGAAAATAGAAAAATGTATGGAAGATGGGCAGTGGAAGTTTCCACTCTGCTTAAGCAGACCAAGGTCCCAAAACTCTGAGATCCACTGCCATAGGTAACAAATTCAGTGCAAAAGAATACCTGATGTTTGTAATTATGATATTGAGCCATCAGGATTAAATTATGTTACTTACACTACCTAAATTGTCACCTATGTTAAGAAGATAAGGAAAAAAAAAGTCTCTTAAAAGCTTTATATACTATACTTTTCTATATTTTCATGCAAAAAGTTTTGGTGCTTAAAAAATGAATGCTTCAAGTTTAAAAAATCTTACTTATATGGAAAAATACTACATAAATGGCATTTTGAAGATTTTGAAGGCATTTCCCATCTTTAACACTTTAAAATCTTTGGCCCAGGAACCATATCCAAAAATGCCAGCAATTAATATATAAATTTTTCTTGGGCTCTAAGCAAACAAATCTGTACATTCTTTTTTGCCACTTTTCAAGTATGAGGGTTTCTACCAGTTCCTCTCACAGGGCTGGGCTTCCCAAATTAAAAGATTTAAAGAATTCTGAAATCAAAGATTTATACTGCTATATTAAACTAATGAATAAATTCAATCTATTAAATAAACCTTTTCTGTTCCTTCTCACATACCATTATAAAGGAAAAGTCACCTCTTATATGACACCAAAATGCAAATAAACCTGTTTTTGTTGAACTGCTGACTGAAAGGATACAGCTGTGATTTGCAGCATTTGTAAAAAGGCTCCGTATCATTAGTACCCACTCCTGTCTTTGCTTTTCCCCCAATTTCCTCATCTTACTTCTTTCCTCTACCAATCTTTATTCATCTCTCTCTCTCTCCTATACCCTATTCTGCTTACTTCCCTAGGAAAGTAGAACAAATTTTCTTTTGAGTTAAATGTTTCAATGGATGTAGCTCAGAACGGACGCACCTACACCTTACCACAACCATTCCTCCTGGCAGGTGTCTCCAGAACCTGAATGATCCCTATTTAATAAATGTCATTACAAAAAATTGTGCACCTCTTAAAGTAAGCTTACATTTAAAAATTTATACACACACACACACACACACACTCAATAAATCAGAGCATGAAAGTGACAAAGAACTTCACAGTAGACTTTTTAAAAATATAAAGCTCCTCTAGGGCATATAACATATTCTTCTTTATGCAATTTTTCAGTAAAATTATCTTATAAGCAAAGACAAACCTGAAAAGCCATACTGAGAAAACTGTCTGTGTCAACACTACTACAGCAGAGTTTTTCGTCCTTCACTTACACTTTCACAGATTTCTCTAACCCACTTTGGCAGAACATGTAACCAATTTTTAGCCTTAAGATGTCATGACACATTTATATGCTCCACAACCACACTGCAAACTTGTGATCAGTCATTCTTTTGTAGCCCTCCATTAAACAAAGCACAGTAGTTTCCTAATAAGTGTTTCTTTACTGTAGGATCAAAACTACTCATACAACCACATTTAATATTTACTCTGTAAAAGAAACAACTAAGGAAAATGATCAAGGAACACACTAAAACGACTGTAGTAAGATTACCATTCTATACCACATTGTTCTGATAAAACATAGAGATTGTTTCAATCTCTTCTGCAATATAGACTACCACAGAAACTTGAATGAATACAAACACACAGACACACACACACACACACGTAATAAATTCCTGGAGTTCAAATAAAAACACTAGGGAATAAGCTAAAACTCACAGCTAAAAATGGTCAACAAATATGTATACAACATGAAAACATTTTGGACAACAGGCAACACTGGGGTTTTTTTGATAATAAATCCCCGGAGTACAAATAGCAATTTCTATTTTCTACCACTTTTAATACTACTTCTAACTGTACTTTAATTTTAAACCACAGAATAGGTGAGGTCAACAACTACTGCTAAAAACTAAGAAATATTTAAAACCACAGAACCTATATCCAGTTAAAAGTTTTAGCAATAACAATTCTCAACATCTACTTACAAAGACAACAATCTGATACCTAACTTTTCTGGCAAAGATTATTATTCTAGGTTTCATAATCTTATCAACAGAGCAAACATTAAAACTGAGTTGTTTTTTTTTTTTAAGAATTAAATACAAATTTAAGCAAAGCTGAAATACCAACTGTAGAACTAAAAGAATTAAGGGTCTAACCAAAAACACGTTTCCTTTTCAACAAAAACACTAATCTCTCTGCCTTTATTATTCAAAATTCCTCTTTGCTCATAATCGCTAGAATGGGAGAAAATACACTTAATGATCTATACTTCTTTTTGGTCCTCTAACAGACTAATTACTAATCAAATATCTCTAATCAACAAATCAAAACAAAACAAAATATAATGGGAAAAAAGCTTTCAATCCCAGTGAATAGCTCTCGAACCTCAAAGATTATGAGCTATAACAATAGCATAAGAAGACAAAGGAATTTAGACAACTCCTTTGGAGTACATTTATGAAGAACTGATCCCATAAACCAAGTCAGGTGAGCAGGAAAAACAAAGACAAGAATTGTGCCATTCTTCATCAGAAATGCAAAAATTCTAAAAGTTTGTCTATACTACCTTCCTTCTGCCTTGACAAACTTACCATAGCCATCATGTCTAAACGAAGAAGGGTGTTCTCCCAAAATGGCTTGTCTCTGGCGACCCTTTCCTCTATCTGACACAAAAGTAGAAACATGGTTTTAACAATTTTGACCCAAGTACTTAACAGAGTTCTCACATGGGAAACACCCATTCAAAACATCCATTACAATTCATAAAAGAAATGTGATTCCTGGTTAACGTTAAACATCCATTCATATCCAATTTAAATACAAACAACAAAAGTTTAAGAAAGTAATTCTATCTAACAAATTCCACTTAACTTGAAAATGTCTTTTTGGCAAATGCCAAATACAGTCACACTTTCAAATTTAAGGAAAGAATGGATACTTTTCAGAAAGTGAATGTACACAATGCTAGAGTTTGACACTGTACAGAAGTTTTTACCAATACATGTCTTTAAAACAAGCTTTAAGTGCAGTACTTTTGAAAGACAGTACCTGATGTATACTATTAGCTTCAACAGCAACACATTTTCAAAGTGGGCTTCTTTCAAGAAGTTCAGCATAAGCCAACAACAACCTGTATTACATGGTTTCACAATCAGTAAACACAGAGTATTTTGTATGTATATACACATATTTACAAACACCTAGTGACTTGAGAGCTGGAAATTTGCACATCACTGGCCCATATTGTATCATGATTGGTCATTGTCTATAGACCTTAATACCAGCCAAGACTAGGAGCACCCCCCGAAGTTTAAATATGCAAAGTTAACGCTAACCAAGGGGGCTACATTATTGGATGAGAGTACTACAATACTCCTAAAGGATAATTTTTATGCTAGCTACTTTTTAAGGAAAGGCATGCCAATTTTCCCAAAACTGAGACATCAATAAAAAAAAAAAATTACTTGTAAGTTTCTAAAATAGCACTTCCTATGTTAGTAAATTTAAAAATCATTGTATAATACTTTTGGAACTTTGTTGATCAAATTATAGTGTTCACTAAGACTTTTTTCATGTATCTTAAGAGTCTGGTCATTCTAATCTTTGAAAATTCAAAGAGAAAGGCTTTCTCTATATATCCTTAGTCACCTAAACAAATGAGGTTTATGGGAGATGAGAAATACTTTAATTTTCACTTCAGTCTACAGAAGTATCATTTTAATTACCTATTCCAAGTTATCACAGCACTGAAAAGGACCTAGGAGGTCATCTAGTTCAACTTTCACTGAGTATACAAATTATCTTTACATTCTCCCTGGGACTGTCGACTGGGACCATCTAGCCTCTGCTTACCCAACACCGATAAGACACTCACTACTTTCCCTTACATTTTCAGTTAGTCTTAAATCATGAGAAAATTAATTTTTATATTGTACAGAAATTGAACCTCTTACATATATTCTACTCCATTTAGAGCCTCACAGTCTTTCTCATTACTCAGTCTTTCTCCAAAGATCCTTCTGAATGCTTAGAAGTTATGATCCTCCCTCCATTTCCCCAAAGTCATTTCTTGATCTTCAGTCTAAACACTCAACAGTCTTTCCATTACATGGCTTTCAGCATCATCATTTAAGTCTCACTCCTCTTCAATCAATCCAGTCTGTTAATCCATTCTGCTAACATTCCTCTGCTTAAGCATGCCACCAAATGCTAAATTTAAGTCCTTATCTGAGCTAAGAACCTTAAACCAAAACCACCATAATATTTTCATGGCTTAGTTTTATTGATACAGTTAACTGTGTGCTATAAAGGAAAGAACACTGGATTGGGAATCATAAGATTTCAACTTAACTACTAATTTGTTATATATCATAGAAGCAATCTTCATTCATAAAACAAAGGAGTTAGAGTAGATGATCTCCAAGGTATCTCTCACCCAAACATTCTCAATTATTAATAATTCTTTTTATTGGAAGCATTCACTACCTAATATAAGGTGACATAAGAAGTGTGAGAGAGTCAAACACTGAATATATCAGTCTATAAATAGTGGTTTGTAACCTTTTCATGCATTCATCTGAAATCTGCTGGAAGTGTGGACCTTTTCTCCCCCACAAGATGCACATATACACAAGGTTTGCTTAACATTTCTGGAGGGATTCTCTGGAGTCCAGGCTAAGAAATCTTTGCACTAGAATGTAATTTGAGCTGAAAAGAACTTTTAAAAATGAGGTCTACAAAAGCACTCTTTTTCTTTTTGGTAGAAAAAATTACAATTCAATATCAACTTGAAGCTGAAGTCACTACAAAAATAAAAACAAACTGCTATAGTCCTGTGAGACAAATATTTACCTGTAAGAAATTAGAAAACAAGAATTCTTTTCTCTCAAAAGCTTTTCTCTCAAAAGCAACTGAAATTCTGTTTTATCTCCTTTAATTATATTTCCCTATTTAAATATCTACCTTACATATTTCTAAACTTTTCTGATTGTAATTCCTTATATGAAAATCTAATCTAAACTGGTTTTGTGTAAACTTTAGACTTTTTGAAAGAATCGATGTAAACACTATTAAAATAAGAAGTATGTCTATAAATGTTTTAAGAGACATAAAGAGAAATGGAACCAAAACTATTTCAAATGAGTTAAAAAAAAAAAAACTGCATGTTCAATAACCAACCGTAATTTGACAGAAGTGAGAGATTTCTCATCAACCACTTGTTCTGTTGTTTGAGTACTAAGGCTTTGTATTCCAACAGTGTATTCAACTATACCAAGCCTATGCCAAGCAGACTTCTGTGAGTAGTGAAAAACGTGGGGTCCAACCAAACCTGCTTTACCAAACAAACCTCTCTGCAACCCCATGCATAAGGCAAGATGATTTCCTGAGAATTGAGAATTAAAGGGGCCAATCAACCAAAAGTCTTAAATATCTGAACATGCAAAGGATCACTGCAATGTCTCATTTTTTTTCTTTTGGCAAGAGTACATGCACTATGGAGTCTACTGCCACAAGATACTTTAAATGCCATAAAATTTTTTCCTAGTTTATTGACTTCTACAGACATACTCATCTTCGTGAGTTCTTCCAACACATGGTTCAAACACTGATATTGTAGTTGAGATGTAGCCAATACTGCAGCCCCCTTGTTTTTACAAGATCCACATTTTGATTTGTATATTCCAGAATTGCCACACAGTCAGTTGAACAATTTTGTCAGTCAAACCTATGCTCACGAAATCTAGCATTTATAAGTTATAGGTGAAAATGCACCTCAAATGAAATGCTCTTATTTTCTGATCTATCAAGTTGAAATATATTCTACTTTGAACACGTTACTTTCACCTACATCTGAAATATCAAAATTTCTAGTTACATAATTAACATAAGTGATAACCTTAAATTGTTACAAAAAGTGACAAATTATAAACAGCCACTTTACAAAAATCAAACCACACAGAAAATCGTCTTTTACATATAACGCACCTTTTTCATTATTATGTTACTCTACTCAACGTCCACAATTGAGAAAACAAAAAACAAAAAAAAGTAAACTTAAGTGCAGCAAGTGTGCACCTTTCTAATCTTTTTATCTTTAATATCTGTGTGGATTGGTTAAGCATTATAATTCCCGAGACCTGTAGATAAAGTGGCCCTGGTTATTTGTCAATTAACAATTTGAATCTAAGCTACAAACAGTTACAGTAATGGGAATTAAGATTTACAACATTGTAGATAAAATCTAGCATCCATTAATGAAAAGTTTTAAATTCTACAACTGAAACCTTAAGGGAAATCAAACCAATATATACATACAACTTGAATAAATGGGCACAGTCTATCATGGTATTCATCCCATGCAAGTCTGAAGTACTGTTAAGTGTCCTCCTTTAAAAACTTGGGGTGATGGTGCATGCAGTATGCAGTCAAGGTGAATTGCAAGTCTGAGTTTTTCAGAGGGCTTTTTGCTGATGCCGATGTTGTGCATGATGAAGTGTAGAGTCAGCCTGCTGGAGTCCTCTATCCTTCTTAATGCCTCGTCCAGCTTGGGGGAAAAGTCCTTTCCTTGGAGAAGCAGTGTGCAAGTCTGCAGTTTTTAAGGAATATTCTGAATCAGTTTCCTCTCCTCCAAAGAGAGAGAGCTGCTTGGAGAAATGCAAGTCCTTGAACTGCGGGCGTGCCTGTATGTGTGGGCTCCTTGTTGAACTAAATATAAATAACTCATTACATACCAGTAGGGGGCACTAATGTTCAAGGTTCTTTTCCAGCATTACAAGGCCTTTTGCAACAAAAGCTTCACCAGCAAGGTTTTCATTTGAATGAACTAGCTCATAGAAAAAAGGAATCTAACCACATGTAAAAATTTGTCAGCAGATGTAAGTACATTCTAAAATGCATAGAATACTTACCTCGTCTTCCCAAATATGGTTTAGTGTAGTCCCAACTGTCATTGTCATTCCTAATAACATTGAGACGAGTTGGCTGTTAAGATTAAAAAGAAAGTAAGTTCAAATTGTATATCCAAAGCGTAAAAATTTCTTTGGCGAGTGTTCAAAAAAAATATTTACCCGTGCATATTCAATTTTTAGTGTGCAACATCCAGCATATATATCTGCTCCATTAAGTGCTGCTTTAGCTTTCTGGGCACAAAGGACTGATTCAAACATAAACTCTATTAAGGAAATTTGGTTTAAGGTGTTCAGTATTTATCTCTATTCTCTCCCTAAGAAATGGACTGAAAAAAATCAGAAATAACTCTCTCATTTCTGGAAGTACTTTGCCAAATAAAATTTATAGATGAATTTTAGTAGGAGAATTTATTCTTAAGATCAAGGGTACCAAAGAAACCTTAATACAACCAAACTGTATACATTTATCCTTCTAGGTCATCAGAAGTACTTTATAAATTGGGGGTGGGGGAGGATGGAGCATGGTCCCATTCCCTAGCAAAGGCCAGCTCGCTATCTTGAAACAGGAAATATTTTACACCTAAAGTAGGAAGAACATTACAAAGAATCAATATAACACAAAACAAATATTTGATTTTTCATACATTTCTGAGAAGGGAGGTTTATAATCATTTTCTTAATTTTATTGGTTTTAAAAAATTACTTAAGTCTCTAATTGTTTAAAAAAAAAATCTACAAAAGTGGTTTAAAAAAAAAAAAAAAGCAGAAATACCTTGCCAGAACTAAGCACCATTAAGAGGCTGCTGTTTATCCCTCCCTACCTTTTTCTATGAATACATACAGGTTAGGGGTCTTTTTTAAATTATTTTTAAAACGGAATTACACTATATGTACTATTTTGCAACTTGCTCTTTTTACTCAATATATAACAAATTTAACATAGAGAAGTAAGTCATACATAAACCATGACCGTCATTAAAAAAATTTAAGGAAGAAAGTCAAGAAAGGTTCTATCAACTCCATTGTTTTGATACTTCCAAACTAATTTTAAAGAGAGATTCAGAAGATCCATTCAGGGTAAATTTCAAAAATGTACAAGTATACATATTATCAAATAGTGTTTTTCCTCCCCATTAAAAAAGCAAGGCACACTAAAATCAAGCACTGGATTGTTTTATAGCAGCAAGTTATTTTATGAAAAATAGTAAAATTCTCTATGGGCACTGCAGTTTCATTTTTTAAATCTAAGATAAATAGATGTGGGAAGCAGTGGGGGAGAATAAACAACACTTCTCTAGAAATGATTAAGCAGGAAAAAATAATCTATATTACACAGCATTCACACCCATCTATAAAAAATTCCAAATAAAGGATATTCAACCATTGCTTGTATCCCATTTCTCTTGAATATAACAATACGTTGCACTTTTCCAACAGGGTTGCATACAGTATATAAAACATCCTACAAAGGAAAGAAAGTAAGACTTCATCATATTTTATGTTTAGAAAAATAATACAGGTATACTGTTTTACTTTACTAAAAATAAAACTGTCAAGATATCATTTCTATTAAGTACTAATTAGATTTTTAAAAATTGTTACTTTAGTAACTCTAAAGTTATTTCCTCACCTACACAATATATCCACATTAGAGAAGTTCCAATGAAATATTTGAAAAGCATTATTACTTTTTTTATCTCCTAAATTAATCCTCAATTTGTACTTTCTTAACAGATGCGTAAAAGAATCTCTGACAATACACAATTAATAAACCAAAACTATAATCAATTACTTTGTTTTTTCCAAATGTGCTTTTGAAATGTTTAATCTTATAACCACTTAAAGTAATAAATGTTTATTAAAAAGTAGTAGTAGAACAACTCGGTATTTCTTTTTCAAGGACAATGGCTATAGAGGAAAGACTCAGGGAAGATCATCTATATAGTATTAAATTTCACTAACCAAGATGCCTCAATTATCTGAGAATCTAAATACCCACTTAGGAACAATTCTTCAACTTTCAAATTTCTTGAGCACCTACAATTACCCAGCCACATCACTAGGTACTAAAGATACAGTAAACAAATCAGAGTACTCATAATACTTACATTCTTTTTCCTTAAACACCAAATACTGCAAATATATTACTATTTATCAGTAAGTCTATAAATATTATAAAAGTAAAGAGATATATAATGCCTAACTAAATTTAAATAGTGTCTTATGCTTTGTTTTGTGTCCCAGTATCACGTACCCTTACTAGCAACTGTACTAAGTGAAGCTCCATTTACTGTGATTTCATTACAAAAATCAAGTGTCTTTGTCACTAGTTTATTATTAAACAGCATGTGATTATTATGAAGTAGAAAACTCAACTGGTTCAAGACATGAATCCTTTTAAAAACCCTATTAATATCACTTTTTGAAAGTGTGAAGAAAAGAATTTAAAGTAAATCGGATAGGTTTCTAACAAGCTATCTCTAAACAGCTTATAACAATAGTTGCATCTTACTGTACTATGAGATTCTGTCATTACCTAATAGATGCTCTTAACACATGTGCTGGCATATAACTGAGATATTTCTTGGATCATTTCCAACAAGTCTAATACTTTATTATTAGAAAGAGAGTTAACACTGATCTTAAACAATAAGATTTTTAAATGTGCTTATTAATAATGACAACTGTGCTTCTGACCTTTTCATAGCTTCAGTGCTCATCATTTCTTTGTGCATTAAACTTGATAGCCAAAATTCAGATTAATTTTAACAATTCTTTTTTAAAAACCCACTCTTTTCAAATATCTAGATGGCTGTGAAGAAAACTACAGGTTATTCACACAAGGCAAATTTCAAAATCATTTTTAATTTACTTTGTCTTACTAAAAATACACACCACCGTGATTGGATAAAGAGGATTCTGAATTGACAGCAGAAGAACTTTGTTGCCTCCTGACGGATCATCAGTATTTCCTGGCCGAGTGATCCTTTTGCTTGTAGAATAGTTGAAAAAAGCTTGCTGCCCAGCTATGTACACAGGTTCATCTGCAGCAAACGTCACACATTCTTTGGCACTGTCTACGTTCTCAAATTCCACTAGAGCCTGCCGTTTAAATGGCATCATCATCACATAGCTGAAAGGCAGATGGGGAAAGAATACCCTAATATAGCAAGTTCAATTAACACTATTTTTCTCAGTCAAGTAAAAGAAGACTTTAATAAAAATGTGTCAAATCATACAGATCAGTAGTCTTCACAACCTATATCCAATGTTAGTCAGCTCTTAAATCATCCAAATAAAATGTGGTATACCAGGTAGATGGTGCATATTTGAAAGCTCCTCCTCCTATGAGTGAAAGCTTTTATCTACCTCATAACTCTCAAGTGCAATTCTGTTATCAGTTACTAATAACGCCATCCAGTTTATTCCTCAGTATGCCAACTCCAAGCAGTATTAGAAAATATCTAGATAAAGAAATCAATAGATAAACCGTAACAGAAGGTAAACTGTCTCTACTGAATTTTCCAAATAAGTGTCATAGGAAGAAATGACTACACTTTCATTTATCTCACTAAAAATAGAGAACCAAAAGATAAAAAGAACTACAAACAGATCAAATTTCATATAATAATCTCCTCTAAAATTCTTAAATATTTTTAAATACTGAAGAATCCATAAAAAGATATTCACCTCAATATGGTAATCATGGATGCCTATGGGTAAGAGGATGAAGTATTTACCTTTTGGGGGGAGGTAATTAGGCTTTTATTTATTTATTTATTTTAATGGAGGTACTGGAGATTGAACCTAAGACCTAGTCCATGCTAAGCACGCACTCTACCACTGAGCCATACCCTCCCCCGCTGAAGTATTTACTTTTCATTGTATACTCCTTGGGAAGGAGAATATATTTTAATACATGAAATGAAAAAGAAATGGAGGGAAGAGAGAAATGAGAACACATAGATCAGAACAAGGAAACAACATGTTCCCTATTCACAGGAACAAGGACGTCAAAAAGATTTTAAAATACAATTAACATGCTTTTGATAATAGCAGAAGGCCAGAGAAACAACATCAGGCCAGGTACTCAGTGACAGCACTGCCTCTCAGTCAGGCATCCAGGACCTACCTCTACACTTCAAAAACTAGCAAGTAGTTTCTTAATAAGAAATAGACTACTTCGTAACCTGGCAAATGATGTAATTTCTTATGAATTTCAGTTTCCTCCTTTACACAACTCGGAGGACTGCTGTCAAGATTATAGTTTCTGCATACAAATTGCTTGCCTTGCCTCATTCATCTTTATATCCTCAGAATCTAGAAACGGAGCCTGGCACATGACAGGTATTCAATCAATATTTGCTGGTCTATGAGGCTTGTTAGCTCTCTCAACCCACATTATTCAAAATTAAAGAAGAAACAGAAATAATAAAGCCTGGGATTAAAGGTTTACCAACTATAAATGCAACATATAAATTCCAAGAGAGAAGCATTCCTTTTAGAAATGCAGACTCCTAGCTGAAGTTCTAAAGTCTTGCATGCAAAAATACAGAAACCCCTGGAATCAGGTCTATGCTAAAAGAAATTAAATAATAATATTCTCCTCTCACAAATATAAGTTGGTTTAATAACTAAATGATATCCCAAGTAAGTATGTTAATAATGCCCTTTGGCTCTTTGGAAGCAGAAAAATTATAAAGGCTCAAAAACAAATTCTTTATTGGCCTATTATAATAGACTTATCTGTTCATAGTAAAAACTGCTTTCCATAATTATAATATGGAGCTAGAAGCACAGACTTAAAAGTTAAATACGTTATTCAGGAAAAGTGGCACCACATGAAGACAGAAAGGAAAATTAAAAGGTTACAGTTATTTTAGAATGTACTTAAATTGTGTGGCACATAATTTTTAAAAAAATCTTTAAAAAGCATTAATATGATAAAGACCAAAACACCAAAGAGAAAAAAAATAAACAAAAAGACTAAGGAACACGGTAGGATAGGTGCTTTCCACTTATAGCTTGAAACATGTTTACTAATTTTTAAATAAAAACAGGAGGAAGCAAGAGATTCACTATACAAATTAGGTCCCCAAAGTTTTGTTTTAAAATTTAAACTGGTATAGCTAATCACTACCTAGCATCCTCTCCTTTAATGAGAGGGGAAAAGGGAGGAAAAGATATCTTTAATATCTTTAAATATTCTTTTGATTATAATACACAGAATAAAGACCAAAAAATAGCAATTTTATTAGCCTGATAACAACCATTCTCAACATCCTGTTATAGTTTCTTAAACTCTTTCCTATGCATCTAGTTTTTAAGTATAAACTTACTATATATTGAACTTGGTGACACACCTTTTTAATATTAGCAGTTTTCTATATAATCTTTATACTCCCCCTCAAATCAACAAAAAAAAAAAAAATAAGGAAAGGTTCTGTATACAAATGCAACATTTTGAAGTAAAACACCTACTCCTCATATGAGGCTGCCCAAGGTTCCTTCAGCTTTAGTAACAGCCACCTCTTAAGATCATTTCACATAATTAAAACTCCTATTAAACATATTTATGCCAATTAAGCTCTTAATTATACACTAATTTGTTCCAATTACTTTAAGACTTTTCTATCCACATAACTACCAATCTTGAGGGCAAAAGGATGTACTACGCAAATTAACTGAGTAACATTCATATATGGAACACATTACTGTGGACTAAATATCAAACAGTATAGAGTCTAAAACTGGATAGGCCACTCAAAAGTAATTCAAATTACTAATTTAAACAAATAGTTCTATTTCTTTAATCTCCAGCATTCAGATCATGGTCATAATTAACATCAAAATATCAGTAGATAGTTGGGAGGATATAGCTCAAGTGGTAGAGTGTATGCTCAGCATGCAGAAAGTCCCAGGTTCAACTCCCAGTACCTCCTTAAAAAATAAACAAATAAATCTAATCACCTCCTCCCACGCATACACAAAAAAAGAAAGAAACAAACAAAATATCAATAGTTATTATTTCCATAAACTGTATTTGTTCATCATCTTGTTTTTGACATTGCTTTAGTATTTCTTGGCTATAAGAAAGTAACTTAAAAAGCCCTAAATAAATAAGAACAGAAGAAAAATAATCCAGAGATAACCATCTCTTTACTCTCCATGGGACAATGAATGCAACAGTTTATAGTGACTGGAGCTAGTCTAATGCCAACATGCAAGTCTAAATATGGTCTAAGAAGTCTGCTTCAAAACTGTGTAACTCTCCAGACAAACTTCCAATATCAGCTCCAAATGACTAAGAAGTGATAGTCATCTTGGTGATACTTCAAGAAACGGGCTTTTTTATGCCCGTGTGGATTTCTAATTTGTACTTCCAAGGATGATTAGTATGTTAACAGTGGTTTCTGAGGTACGTAAGTTGAGGGAACAGGTTTGCTAAGTCATCTACTTCTTAATAAGGTCACCAAAGAAATTAATAAAAAAGATGCCATGAGGGAAGGTGTCCCCTAACACTACTAGTACCCTTTGAAGCAACGATTCCTCTCTGTTGAACATCTCTGATTACTCCCTCACCAACTATTTATGCACCATCCTTTCAATACTCAAAACTCCATACATTTCTATAAAATTGAAGCAATCAAGTTATCTCAGTAAACATACTGAAATTTCTCTCCTATTTATATATTATGACTTAGTCTGTATCTCTGCTATCTATAACAAAAATCCCGTATCTATCAATGGGGAAAAAAAAACAAACCCTCTAGATTATCCATACTAAGAAGAGAACAATAGCCAGGCATACTCCAAAAATAATTTAGAAAGAATTTTTTGAGTGTCTATTTTTAGCAGCATATTCACTTTTTAAATTATGTTTTTCACTTAAGTCAGTATTTTTTTAATTTATTTTTATAAGTCAATATTCTTAAGCACACACCAGCTGTGGGAAGAGAAAGGAGGAGCCTGAGTGAATACAAAAAACAAAAAGACAAGCTAAGCTAAAACACTGACTGCTCTTGATCTGCGTAAGAACTCACAGCAACAGACACCTAATGAAATAATGCTTCCTCTTAAACTACCCATTTTTCATTGTCAATTAATTAATAGTCAAAACTAACAAAAACAAAAACAAAACAAAAAAATCAGTATTTAAGTACCACTATTTGAAACTCTGAAGACAAAGGATGTAATTAAGTAACTCAATTGTTTAAAGTAGAACTTAAGAAGGAATCATGCACTCATTTGAAAATAAGATGAAAGATGCAATAATCAATTTTATATACAACCTGGTTGAGGAGTGAGAGGTGAGTGTGGATTCACAAAAATTTATCCATGCATCATCCCAGAAAGAGTCAAAAGGTTTCAAAGAATACAGTCATATGGAAACAATATATACTATGGTTAAACATCAAGGCTTGTAGTGTTCTATAATAACTTTTCACAATTTGCATTAAGTCCCTATTGGCCTTACCATATTGTTCCAAATTTTTCCAGAGCCTCCACGAGGTCTGCTTCCACCACAGATTCACAGAGTCCTCGAACATGGACAACAGGTGAAACAGAAACTTTATGATGACTTCCACCTGCCTCCTATCAAGATAAAATAATTTCTAGTTAAAAACTTTAAAAGTCTAAATTGCACCTTTCAGTAAATCTATCTCTGCATTAAAAAGCAAACATTTTTTTAAAAATCTCAAACCAACTCACAATTCACAAGTAAGCAAAAGGACTTAAGAGTAAAATCATCAATTAAGTGTTTGGCACGAAAATTTTGATTTCTTAGAAGGGAGCACTGTCTCACAATAAGAAGTACAAATAAGTTATTTAATAACTTATTTGAACTTCAACTTACATAATACTAGATTAACTATACTAGATTAACTATATATAAATTAAAAAATAACTTATTTCAACTTCAAGGAAATGTCAGAAAAAATTTCAGCAGGTTCAAAACATGCTACAACTGGAAATATACTTCATATTCATAATTTCATAGTTTCACCTCCATAAAATCAAAATCTCAAGTAGTCCAAATGACAATTTAAACAATTTAAAATTTTTGTTTATTAGTAAGATTATATACTTTATCTTTCCTGCAGTATAGATTAATATCACCTTTTGTCCTTGTTTATTTGGTTATCTAGTCCTACTATACTTTGAATTTACTCACTTGTACACTTGCCAACTTAAATTTATGCAAGGTACCACCTTTGCTGATGAACAAGGAATACTCAAATACAAAACTTCCTGGGCTTCTGTGAAGTACTGTGCATCTCTGAGTATGCCCAGCAAGAAGTTTTGAAACATATGGTCTTAAAGTTTAATTTAAAGGGGTCTATGTATGAGAATTATCTTGAAAATGAAAATAGCTCTCATTTACTTATTCAAGCTCTACTTAGACAAAGAACTATATTTATAACTAGCCACTGGTCATCTCCCCTGCATCACTTCAGAAGTGACTTCTATAGCATGGTAAGTGTCCATCAGTAGATGAACGGATAAAGAAGATGTGGTATGTATGTCTAAAATGGAATATTATTCAGCCATAAAAATGACATCTTGCCATTTATGACAACATGGATAGACCTAAAGGGTATTATGTGGAATCTAACAAACAAAACAAACAAGCAAAACAAAACAAAAACAGACTCATAGATACCAAGAACAAATGGGTGGTTGTCGAGGGGGTGGTGTGAAATAGGTAAAGGGGGTTAAGAAGTACAAATCTCTAGTTATAAAACAAATAAGCCACAGAATGTAATATATAGCATAAAGGATGTGGTCAGTAATATTCTAATACATTCGTATGGGACAGATGGTTACTAGACTTGTCATGGGGATCGTTTCACAATGTATCCAAATGTCAAGTCACTATGCAGTACACCTGAAACTAACATAATATTATATACTAATATATTCCAATTTAAAAATATTTTTTAAAAAGGAAAGAAATGACTTCCATGTACAACTCATATATACACCGCCCAAAAAACCTGTTAAATGAAAGGTTTTTTCTCCCACAAAGAGGAAAAGAGGTTTTTCCCTCCTAACCTAAAAGCACAAATGTTTTACCATTAAAATTTAAGAATTGTTTTAAGAACATTAAATCCCTTTATGACTATTTTTAAGACTCACTAATTTTTCTTTATTATAAACACTGTTAGGAAATCCTGTAATAGTCTTGTGCCCTGCCAATAAAAATGTTAAGAGTTTAAAGAAAATAACTAATTTAAATATATAAAATAACCATGAGACTACTCTTACACTCTTGTCAAATCCAACAAATAAATCCAGTCCTTTGCAAATACTAATTCAATCCTTGGAATTTCATTTGAATTGCTTATGCTGAGACTTTTCCATGGTTAAACAGATATTCATTACATGCTACTAAGTTTGAAATGAATCATTCTGATTGAACCCTATGTGACACCAACTCTCTATTAGCAACCTAAACAAATGAGGCTGCCTCAGTGAAACTACAACCAAACGTACATTATCATCATTAAGCTCTTAAGTATAGCTGGATAACAATAATACAGGACAAAAACTCTAAATAATACCTAAAAATTTAATTTAGGGAATACATTTAAAATATAAACAAATTTTACTCTAAAAATAATTAGGCAATAATAAACCACAAGAAATAAGACAGTCATCTCTGTTGATCCTTAGAAATCTGCTGGCAAACACAACTCCTCCCCCTACCCCTCTTCCCGTTGTGGATAACCACTATTTTGCATACAGTGCTAAAAAATATGAGTATTCTCCACACTGGTCACTTACAAAGAAATGGATTGTAGAACCAGTTTAAAAATCCCTCAAAAGATCTGACTTCAATAAATTATTATTTAATTATATTTCCTAAATAAATAGATCAAGATTTAAGTCATTCTTTAAAGGCTGGAAGATGTTAAATGCATTCAGTATGGTACTTAGGGGAAGATATGATTATCCCAACCTCACGGCTGAGAACATATCCCATACCTCCCTGTATTTCCCTTATTCCCAATAACTCTGCCTTCTATTTTATCTACCTTGATATTTCTGTATCTTTAAATTATGTCTCCTTTTTTTTGAACTTAAGAATTTCTCATCCTGTCTGTAGTTTATTTAAAAAAACAAAACAAAACAACTCTAGGGTTGTTTCCAAATATAAAACTGACATATTAAAGGTATCTTTCCAAACTGTATTTTCACCATCCTTCTTTTCCCCCCAATATACTAACACTTTTCTTAAACCAACATTTTATCTCTACCTATACTATACAATGGTGATAACAAATCTGAAATCATCTGTGGAGCTTCTTTTACTACCCTAAAATTACCTCCTTCAAGCATCATACTATGCACGTGAATCCTAAATTGGTGAATAAGTCAGTTATTATTCACCCCATCCACGTATTAATACTTTGACCATGTCTTCTAAAGCTTAAGGAGTTTTTTAATCCTTTCTCTTACAGGAGCCCAAATTCTTTTCATTTCAAATGTTTAGTTATCTAGGCTCTCTCCTGGTCTATTTATATCTATTAGTTATCAGACTAGAAACAATACTCCAAATAAATACCCAACAAATGGAGGCATGCCTACAACATATGTATACTTTTTTTTCTTTTTTAATTACTCAATCCCTTCTTCAGATAAATTGGATCAAATATATGGAAGCATTATTTGGTCCTCACTGCAAGCTACAGACCAGTTACAAACTCCTAGCCCCTCAAATGCTAACTCAAGGGCAAACTCCAATAATACCAATCTTGAGTGCTAATTTTGACTATTGCAGATTTGAAGACCAGGCTCAACCAAAGAAAAGGGAAGCTCAACAGAGTATAAATGAAGCTTCTATCTGAGAGGAATGAGAAGGGCCCATTAACATCTCTCAATATAGTGAAACTGTAAACTCACGATGTCCTTTAGCTTTTTGTTTTCCCAATATCTCCATGCATAACACATGTTCAATAGTCATGAACAACCGTTTCTGCCCTCCTACAAATATAGGATTAAAAAAGACAAGTCTCAAATTCAATAATTCATCCCCCAAAACCAAACACACACAGACCTACTACAAGTGATTATCAGCCTCTCCTTAAACACCTCCAATGGCAGGAAAACATACTACTTCATGAGACAGCCTATTTTTAGAAAATTCTTCATAATATGCATCCAAATCTGTCTCCCTGTAACTTCCCATACAAAATGGCTTTTAAAGTCAGACCAGGCATTTAAATCTTTGGATGTTTACTAGCTCTGTGATCTAATGCTACTTAATCTTTCTGAGCTTCAGTTTCATTTTTAAAAAAATAAGAAAATCCTTATCACATAAAATTACAATAAATAAACAGAATTTACAGTGTCTAGCACAGTGCTAGACGTAGTTGTTGAACAAGGGTTCAATAAATATTAGTTGCCACCCCCATCCTTACCTTCATTTCCCTTTTACATAACCTTCCTATTACTTGTGACGATTTCTTAAATCATACCTAAGTTTAACCTTCAGGCTAAATATTCCCCAAATATCTTCTGTCATTCCTCTTATGATGTGATTTTGAGTGCCGTCTCTATTCTGATAATAATTTTCTGGATACACTAGAATTTATTAATATAGTACCAAGAAATAAGTACAGTATTTCGAGATAGTTAAGATTACCCCTCCTTTTATTTTGGATACTTCATATAGACCAAGGACAAACTAGTTTAAGGTACAGTTGCAAATATTTTTTAACTCACACTGTGCTTAGAGTTAACTACCTAGTACACGTTTTTTTCTTACTAAATTAAACAATCACATCTCTTTACTTGGTCTTTTTCTTTTCCGAAGGAAATAATAGAGCAGATTCAAAATATGGGAAAGCCTTTAATTTTCCTATCCAAAGTTTTAATTGATCCCATGGCAAAGATTAAAAAGAACAGCCATATGCTTCAAATAACTTTTTAAAAAATAATCTTTATTTTTTTGCTCAAGTTGTAGAAATCCTTTGGTTTTGCCTATTCAGAACTTCGCCTTTCCCATTCTTCTGGTTAAACACAAAAAAAGAAAAATTCCTCAACCCCAAATTATTCCACTGATATTCTCAGTCATATAGTCATGCCTCCCTAACTTCAGAGGTAGTCCAGTGATTAGCTGGGGGTAAGGGGACATAAAAAAATGGCTGATCAGAGGGAATGAATACGGGCTCTCGGGGAGACTGTGTTTTATTTGCTAGCTGTAAGAATGTAATCCTAGCTTTATCACTACATAGAGGAAATAGAGCTGAAACATATAAAGAGACAGAATCTTGTCCCTATGATGACATCATTTAAATCCTTAGATCCTGCCATGCCTAAAACTAATGCCACAATTTGGCATTCGTAAGTATATGGGCCAATACATTTCCTATCCCCGCCCCTTTTGGTTTTGCTTAAGTTCATCTGAGTTGGTGCTATGCCTGCAACTGCAAGATTTGAAAGTTGTATTCAACTTCATAGAGAGAAAACACTAAATGAGGTAGAATCACAGATTTTTAGATATGGATTTTTTTTTTTTTACTATTATATCCTCATCACCAAGAACAGCACCTAGCATATGATAAGGCTCAAGTATTACTTTTTAATGAGCTAAGAGATCATAGTGATCATCTAATCCAACCAGCTCATGTGATTGGTAGCAAGGTGAGTTCCACAGAGGTTAAGTCACAAAGCATACTGGTAGCAGAGCCAAGGCACCTGCTTTAGTTGGGCTTATGGCTCTATTAACAGCACTTTTCACTCTTTGTACTAACACGAAGAAATAGTCACTTGTTAAAACCAAAAGATAGTAAAACCTACTACTTTTCATTTACTTTCCAAAACTAGGCCTAAAATCCTCACTCTACTTTAGCAGTTTAGCTAAATGAGACAGGACGTTACTGCTACAGAAGCCTCAAAGCTCTGGCACTTATCTCTGAGGTACACATCCTTGAACCTTTTTATTCTCCAGAGTGTAGTTACTATGCTGTCACAGTCTCCAAACTTTTCCTGTGGGAGCTAAGCTAACAAAGTGACTTCATGCCACCTCCCATTCCATAGTCATCTCAATAAGCCATCAAAATATTCCTATCATCTCTGTATTCAGATCTTTAAAGTTTAACAGTGCATCTTAAATTCAAACTAGATTCTCTATATAATGCATATTCCTTTATTTGGAAATCCTAAGATCTATATTTTTATCTTGGCATTTTGCCACCTTGCAAGTCTATTTATTAAAAGTTGAGAAACATATTTTCACCTCATCAGCAAACAAATCACTTTAACAGTCACTGATTTGCCTGTTTACTCATTAGCAGAGCAGAATAAAAGAAAAACTTAAAAGTCTCTAAAATAAATTAGCACTCCATTAATTTTTATTGATACCAATCTTTATAAAAAAAAATCTTTTCTAGGTAACTTCCCAATTCAGTTCCTCAACTGGTTTTGCCAAGTGAAGTGCTAATATTTAGAAGTCAAGCTGCTTTTTTTAAAAGATACAGAAATTTACTATTAATACGATCTTGAAGGTCATAACTGAAAAATTTAAGAATACAACTTATTCCTTAAGAATAAAGTAATTGTATAATATATAGCATGAACCTCCATAATCAAGCTTTGTTCAAAATGCAGCCCAAATAATCTGAAACACTCAGGAGGGGTTTTGCTCTTCAAAGTACCAGAAGACATAAATTTGAAGGGTATCATTTCTCATATCTGAACTACAAACTCATTTCTCTTTATACCTTAAAACATCATGATCATTCACAATGATCAATTCATCTTTAAATCAGGAGCATTTGTAGAAGCAGTTTTTCTTAAATACTAATGTTCCTCTTTAAATCTAGTTATTATTCTCAAGGAAACTTATGAAAAGCCAATGTAAATCTCTGAAGTCTTACTGTACACTTTTACAAACTTCCAACTAGAGTTGAAAAGATTACCCATCATTGTACCTAATCTGCATTTACTCACATAGTTTGATCACAAAGGTTTATTTCTTCTAGGACCTGGCTGAGGTTGAGCCAAATCTTTTTCAGTTACATGAATTACTATACTTCTGGATAATGACACACTAGACAGTAAACTTCTATTCAGGGCATTCCTGTCCTAGTAAAATTTTAATATGTGCAGGTTTCCACAGTTGCAATGATTTCAAAAATGTTTAAAAAACAGGAAAAATAATCCTTCATTAGATTTCACAGTGCAGTATTGGTTCTATGTTAAATAAAAGCAATTCACCCTCTCCTAAGAAACATAACACCAATAAGATAAACAAAATTTGAATTTATAACTCAATCTGCATACATTAGTTCCTGCCGAGGTAATTTAAAAGCTGTATTACATCAATCACTGAACTACAACTTCAGGTATGGAAAGCCTGTAGTTCAACTTTCACATTTTACAGACTAAGAGAATTCTAAGTAGTAAAGTGACTTTCCCAAGGTCACATGGATGTGTGCTAGCCTGACTCTCCCCAAGACCTGTCCAGTGCTATTCCCACTGCTACATAAAATTCACTCTGGATGTGTATTAATTATACATAATTTTCTTCCCAACATCCAAAATAATACTATTGGCTTAATATTTAATTTGTTTTCAAAACCAAAAATTTTTAATAAACTGGTTAAAATATTTTCCCAAGACACTTGATGGAAGACATTTCATGCTGTGGCACAAAAATTCAAGCAAGACTTGGGCAAAAGAAATACACTGATCCAATGCATCTAAATATCAGTTATAATATTCCTGTTTCCAGCATCCACAATAGAGTTGGCTTTGAACTGAAACTTAAGAAGAAATGCACTTTCTTTATTCACACTTTTTGTTACATTACGAAATCTGAAGTTACATTTTGAATATTCCAAATAGCCAGGAACAAAAGTCCAAAGCAATATCTAGATGTAAGAAAACTCTTAAATTTAGAGGAAGAAAAAGTTCCTTTTTTTTAAATGTGGCAACATTTGTATTTGGAACTCTAACACTGGAAACTACTGACCAGAATTTTTTACATAAAAATGCAGAAAAGAGCTAACAGACTTCTAATTTGCTAAGACTTATAACTTCTTATAAAAGGTGCAAAACATTCTAATATTAGAATATGTGCAAAATTTCATAAATTTCGGGAAAGTTTGCTTTGAAAAAAATCAATTAAAATGTGTTAAATGTTTAAAGAACATTTAAGTCAATTAGACAGCATAAGTGCACCAAAAAGGGCAAAAACATTTGCTTTACTTTGTTTCCTTAAAGCTGAGCTACTACTTGCTGTGGATTTTCACATTTCTTCTGCCTCAAGCTAACCTTTTTAATGAAACAAGAATCTAGGAATGTGTGTTCGATTGAGTTCAGTTCCTCATTTTGTGGAGCGAATTGGGAACAAACTGCCCATGAAGAACTGCGGTGATTCTTTTTACTTGTAAATAGAGGTGTGTGAACACCTACCAACACATTTTTTTTTCAACCTAAAAGCTAAAAACTGTACTGAGCAATAATCATGAAACTGGGAGCAAAGCATGTGCGCCAGGTCTATTAAGAGTAAAAAATGTTAAATTAAATCTTTAGGGGAATTAGGGTGTGAGAGTCAGGGCCAAATCTGTTACCTAGCTGCGGCTCTCCTCAGGACCTGGGCGTAAAGAGCCCTGGGTGGAACCGACGCCCCTATCCTGAGATCGTAATCAGCGCGCGGGGATGCTGCGGGCAGGGGGCTGAAGGGAGCGGGTCGTCCCGACGCCGGCCAGCCGCCGGAGGAGTTAAACTAACAAAGGACTAATCACGCAACAGAGCCGCCCCAACCATACCCCACCCGAGCGGAGTAACGGCCTCCACCTCCCGCCCCCGCCCCCGGACCCTCCCCCGAACGTTTACCGAACGGCCCGGGCCGGCC